TTTCACGCAGGCTGTCGTCCCTGTATCAATCTTACTGTGCGGCACATGGTGGAGAGCGCTGGAAACGGTGGTTGAACTGCCATATGAAGTTGAATGTGGGTTCCCCAGATGTGACATCGACATCAACCTAGTTAGTATGCGTGCATGTACGTTGCCCTCTCCCGTCTTCCTGACTTTTCCCTAACACCAGGGAGTGAGTGAGGTAGATGCTCGCAAGTCTACTCACACTAGTGCAAGTCACGGCCCCTGCACCACTCTCCTGTGGAGCTGATGGTGGACGTAGTAGAAACGGAATATATGGGTTTCGGTAATCTGGTAGAGGAACAATTAAGTTCCGCTTCGCTTAGGAACTCATAATTAGAGCCCGAGTAGGCAGTCTCATAGCGACTATCAGGATAGGATGGAATGGCTTCGACAAAGCAAAGGGAGACCGGAGTGGTCAGTGGTCATGTGACTGCGTACACGGGCTCTAATTGTGAGTTCCTAAGCGAAGCGAAACTTAATTGTTCCTCTACCAGATCGGCGAAACCCATATATTCATTAGTAGAAACTGAGTATTCACGTGGGCATGGAACTCCTCTAAAAATCAATCACTTGCTTCAAGTCAACAAACTACACTTTTTTACAAAATGCTGTCCTGCCCTGCTGTAAAAGTAGAGAAATTCCATCAAAAAACACACTATTTTAAAAAGACAGAGAGAGAGAGAATAAATACTGTTCATAACGAACCGTCGCTTGAAGGTCCATGCAGGAGGGGGGCAGTCTGGGTGGTACTGGAGCAGAAGCAAATAGGACCCGCGCCGCCAGTAGTAGTCTGTCCACACATGACCTCCTCAACTAGCTTTTAATTGGCGGACTTTTGAGCCTAACTGCCACGACGTTCAAAATTGCATTTTTTCTCTCGCTCCCTCCCCCCTCCTCACGGCCAAACTTATTTAAATAATCGAATATTTTCGCGCCATATTTAAAGTGGCCCAATAGTGCCCAGTTGGGTGCTATCAACTCTATATAGAGTGGAAGATTGTGTCCAGTTGGGCGTTATTGGGCCATTTAATTGTCGCGCGCAAAGTTCAAAATTAAATATTCCCTCTTACTGCCACGATGAGCCAAGTGTGAGATGCGACGATCAGCACGGGAACAAGACCAGGGCATAGTAACTGTTACTAGGGCACCGCAGCCATTTTAAATCCCACCTGCCTAGACGCAGGGTGCCGCGAGCTTCTTGACCTGCTTATGACTTCAGACCGAGGCGTTTAAGAGAACAGCTGGTGCAGTAGATGCCGCGCAAGCCTTCTATTAGTATCAGCTATGTTTCCCGTAAGCTAT